AATGAAATTCTTTCACAAAAATAGTACTTCTAGTAATACTTGTTGTGATATTTGTAACTCATTACACGTTAGGTATTTTTCACGCATGAGAACAATGTGTTCCATATCACAAGTATTGTTTATACTATTAGCATGTATTTTGTTCTCCTGTCTGCTTTGGTAGGACATACTTTACATCTTTCTGGTCTTCCTTGTTTTGTAGGCAGTTTTTGTGTTTTATTTGTCTATGCAGTGGTTTCCACCAGCATTATTTTATGAAGTTCTTTGGTCAGATACATATTGTTCTTCTTTTTTTTTTTTTTTTTTTTTTTTTTTTTTTTTTTTTTTTTTTGGCGGAACTGGGGATTGAACTCAGGCCCTTGTGCTTGCCAGGCAAGTGCTTATTCTACTGAGCCATCTCCCTGGCACTCTTGTTATTAACTTTTATGTTTTCTACTTTTTTCATCTTCCATCATCTCAAATTACTCAAACAGCTGTTCCTTTTTTTTTTTTTTTTTTTTTTTTTTTAGGGAAGGGTGTACAGGGTGTTCAGGATCTCACTACTGGATCAAACTTATAGTGATCTGCCTGTTTATAGCCTCCCAAGAGCTGGGATTACAGGCATGCACCACCTTGCTGTCTCAGTGCATCCTGGGGGTGGGGCCGGCTCTGCAGGCCTGGGTATCAAACCCCCAGCCCATGCACCTGCTAAGAGGTGCTTTAATCCGTTGAGCTGTTCGGCCGGTCTCCTCAAACCGCTGTTGAGTTTACTATGTGTTCAAATTGTATAGGCTGATCTGTAATTTCTTGGACAATAATGAATTCTAATAACTAAAAATATTATTAGGGTTTTCTCCTTTGCAGTGTATTTTGTACCTTCCCCATATTTGTTTTTTCTTTTAATAAAATTAGCACATTGAAAGATGGTAGATGATGCTATAAACCTGATATAGATGACAAAAGTGAAGTAGACTGGACACTTTTGGGAAAATGAACCAAAATCAGGTGTAGGAACAATTTTAGGAAAAGAAAATTTTTTTTCTGGGAAAAGAAAGCTGATTTTTGTCTACTATTTTGCCCACTTCCACCACCCCCTCCGCACGTGCACTCTCTCTCTGTCTCTCTGTCTCTCTCTGTCTCTCTCTCTGTCTCTCTGTCTCTCTCTCTCTGTCTCTCTCTTTCTCTCTCTCTCTGGCCTGTATTTTTTATAGGAAGTTTTTAATTGGGCTTTCACTTACCATAGTTCTTCTTGCTTCACTTTTTCATTTTTATGGTGTTTATTTTTCTGATATGTATTAATCAAAGTGCAGGTTACAGTGCAGATTGGGGTTTTCTCATTGGAAATGGCGTCTCTGCTCGAGGTTAGCGTGGCTGCTGCTTGATGCCTGTGTTCTCCAAAGTCACCCTCTACCACCAGTAAGGATTTTCAGGACGTTCTTCTTGTGCCTGTCAGTGGCTCATTGCAACACCTTAGTCATGGTCCAACTTTGGTAACAGAAGTTTCATGATGAATTAACATGTATCATGAGCCGAAAGGGCTGCAGGGCACATGTAGGTAAGGGCCTAATAATGATAGACAAATAAAAGAATAAATATGCAAAGCAATATAGCTTTATAACTGAAATTCTTACAGAGTGAAGCTGTTTAGCCAAGCACTTCTGTCCATCATGATAGCCAATTAAGTGTGCAGATTTTCACGTGTGTGTCCTCATATGTGTCCATTAGTAATTACTGCCACCCTCTGTTTCCCTGGGGAATCCGTATACAAGTCTCTCCTGACAGGAACCACTTGCAGTGTGAGGGATCACAAGTCTTCCCAGGAGAGAGGCTGTCACGTGTGAGGATTACACATTTGGCTTTACCTGCAGTATGAAATAATTCTGTGTCTTGCAATTGAAAGGTCAACTCATTAGATTTGATGCTCTTTGTAACCTTACGAAAATCTCAGTTTTCTCAAGTTGGTTAACTGAAAGATCTTCTTTGACACAGTTTTAGATTGAATGGTGAGGTGATGTTCTTCAGGCCAGGGGTTTCATATTTTGTACAACCTTTGACTTTTCATTGTGTTTTAAACCAGGTTGCTACATAGAGAATTTTAACAGCCTTGATCTTAGAGTCATAAAATACTGTTATTCCTGTTGCTGCTGTTTAGTATTACAGCTGCTTCCTCTTTATGAGATTTAATTTGAAGTTTCAGCCCACCAGGGGGCTATTGGTCCCCACCTTTGCAGTTTGAAGAGCAGACTGGTGTTTTCTGCGTGGATGTTATTTTGCTTCCTATTCAGAGTGATTTTTGCTTTTCTGTATTCATCTAGCAACAGCAAGGCACTGTTCCAGGAACTTGCTTTCTCTACATAAGGCATAACATGGAACCATTTGGATGGAAAAATTATAAATTAAAATTATTCTCTTCACTTAAAAATATTCATATTGTGTTGCTCAAATGCCAGTAACTGGAAAATCATGGATAATTTCCTATTTTTATAACCTCTTTCAGAATGTTTTAAAATGTGTTTATGTTGATACTTAGCCATCTCTTTTCCTAGAATGGGTTTTGTGATAATTTTTTTTTAAATGAAGGTTGAGTCTAGTGTCTGATGGACTATATTATTAAAATGGAGATTATACCATTAATTGTAATCCATTTTTAAATAGAAAAATATTTGTTCTATGTTCATAGAATGTTTATAAAATTGTAAGACTTAGATAGTCCATAGATATGCCATACTATATTTGTGGAAGATAAAGCTTTTTATTAAATGTTGAAAACTGAGCAAATTTTTATTGTTTCTGGAATCTGTAAATTTAACTTCAACTGTGAAAGCCCATGTACTTATAGTACTAGTGGTTTTTAAATACTAAAAGCACTTTCAAATTTTTTACTAGTCTTTGCTTGTTTGTTTTTACTCTTCTGGTCTCATTGCTAAGTCAGTGACTCTTTCATTTGAGGAAACTAAGCTTTTCCTTCTATCTGCACTTTTCTAGTTGTATGTATAGGAGTAGGAGTTATTTATCTCAGAAAGATAAGCAGGCAGGGAAAAGTAAAAATGTTCTCATATGGGCTGGGTGACTTTTTGATAAAATAAATATATCTTTCATTCTATAGAAAAGAATAGTGACTGGAGGTCTTCTAACTGTGGACCATATTAAAGAAAGTGAACTTTGAGTCCATAGTCATATAAAAGCCATGTGTTTTAAGGGCAGGCCAGATTGCACCTGCTGAGGCAGAGTGCAGTGGCTGGCCCCCCGGCCCCCTCGCTGCATCGAACCCCAGCTGCTGCTCTCTGCCTCAGCAAGTGCTTCAGTCCGCTGAGCTATCAGGCTGGTCCTGGGCTGAAGTCTTACTTTATGTTCCTGTGTCATGTGCTGGCGTTCTCCCGAAGCAGTGCATCACATAGCATGAACAAATTTCACAGGCTCATTTCAATGTTTATTTTAGCACTGCAGATCATTTGGACTTTTAAAATAGGCTAATCCTTCAATTGAATATGGGTTCAGAAAGGTTCTGTGTGTATCCTAGGAAAACCTGGATGCCTCCTGTTTACTGTGTTTTATTTTAAACATCAATAGGTGATCCAAGAATATTTCTTCTTAATTTTTTATTCAATTTAATGAGAAAAAAATAGCAATGAAACAGTTTCAAAACAGGTTAGTAGGACAGTTACATTAATACAGTGCATATTGTTGTCTTTATAGTAGTTATTCAGAGGGCAAAATACAGACATGATATCTTGTCTAAACACTATTAATACAGACCTTTATTCTCATTGACTTATTAGAAGGTAACTGTATATCTATCCTATTTTGTATCTACCTATGTATGTATTTTTTCAATACAAAATGGTCCTTAAAGAGCCGGCCAAATAGCTCAGTGGATTAAAACACCTGCAAGCAGGCGCAGGGGCTGGGGTTTGATCCCTGGGCCTGCTGTGCTGGCCCCGCCCCCAGGGCACACTGAGATGGCAGTTGAGACTGGGCTTGGTGGCCTGTGCTTTTAATCCCAGCTCTTGGGAGGCTGTAAACAGGCGGATCACTACTAGTCCGATCTAGTAGTGAGACCCTGAATGCCCTATAGAGTCTTCCCTAAAATAAAATAAATAAATAAATAAATAAATAAATAAATATTAAAAAGTACTTCATACATATATCTTCCTTTTTGGGTTGGTTTTGTCAGAGATGGGTGCTCCACTGTTGTTAGAAAAGCTGTATTTGGAGAAGTCTTTAAATGACCTTTTCATATTTGATGCCAGTTCAAATATTGTAGGTACTTAAATTCAGCAAAATAAGTCAATATAACTCAATAGTCCATAACAGTGGGTTATCCCTTCTTAATGTTTGAAAAGATGTTATTGCAAGCTATAAGTTTTGAAGACAGGAGTCTACCAATAAAATATTGATGCATTTCCTATTTGATGGAAAATAGGTTGTACAGAGTCAGTAAATGGGGTTTCCAACATAATTTATGCAGCAACCAATATTTTTGAGCATAGCAATAAAATGAAGTGTTTTTGATTAAATGAAAAAGATTTAATAAATGGTATAGGTAAAATGAATTTTTATTAATAATTTGAGAGTTAATTCCTAACTTTGCTTGACTTTTTTCCTTTGGCTGATGACAGACAGACTAGTGAGTTAAGTGCTGACAGTCCCTGTTGGGCGGATTGGCGGTTTAGTTCCAGGACTTGTGATATTCATGACAATAGATGTTCTCAGAGATGGGACTGGAGCTCTCGCCATGATGGAAGTGCTGCGAGGGAAGCACGGTTGAACCAATTGGCTGTGAATGTTAATCACTTCATAGGACACCCTGATAATTTACACCATTGTGGCAACTCCCTAGTGTTCATAAATGGACCTATCAACCCACTGCCACCGTGGGATAAGCTGCCTTTTCTCTGCAGTTGAATAGCCAGACAGCCTGCATAGCATGTGGGGAAGCACTGCGTTAACAAGAGTGAGCAGCTGCACGATGGCGTGGACAGCTTCGTGACAGATTGGCTAACTATCTCCTCTGATTCCAGAGGGCGTTTGTGAGGTGTGGCTGACCAGCGAAGACACAGGGGCCTACGGCAGAGATACCGGCTCTGATCTCCCCACACTCCTGTGGAAGCTGGTGGATGTGATTCCCGAGGGAGCGATGCTGAGGCTTGGCATGACCAACCCGCCCTATATCTTAGAGCATCTGGAGGTAAGGACAGTGCCACATTTGCATACTGACATAGACACTAGCCGCTCAGATATGGGCAGCCTCAAGATCAGCAGAGCCACTCCCACATTTGTGCTGTGTCCACACTGCCACCAGTAAACCAAGACTTTCAGATCCCCTTTGTCAGCCGAGAAAATAATTTGTTTTTGCTTGCTCATCATTAATTAATGTTGCATAAATTTTTCAATACTGCTATCTTGTCAGTATTCTTCGTTGCTCTGTTATCGTCCTCCAGTTTCCAACATTTGACTCAGCTTTTCCATTTTTAATTTTAGTGTGGTTCAGAAATACTAAATACTAATGTATTGCATTAATTTTGTACCCAACAGTCAATATTACCTTGTACAGACCATGCCAGTGTATTAGTGAGGAGGCTGACCTTACCTTTCAGGCTGCTGCACATCCACTTCTTTACCAAGAGAGGCTTAGTGCTGGAGTGAGGTCAGGTGGACACAGAGCTTGAGGCTCTTGCACTCAGCTCGCCTCTGACCATTGGGAGCTACAGCTTACGCAAGCCTCAGATCCTGGCCTGGTTTATACGCGCGGGTCAGTTGTTTAACCTTAAGTAGGTAAATGTCAAATTAGAAAAACTGGATATATATCCAGGTGACTGGCACCTGAGGACAAATGCCATAGTAGATGTCAGCCAAGAACATGGACAAGACAGCAATAATTTAAATGAAAAAACCCATAATCTGTAATTATTACTTAAGATATAGTTATGCTAGCTTCAAAGTTGTGAGCTTAAAATCTTGATGCTGCTGTTAGAAAGTGATATGTAAAGCATGGGGAACAAATCACTTTCGCTTTAATTTAGGTAGGTCCTTAGCACTGTGTTTGTACAGAAAAATAACATTCTAAAAACGTTATAGCTGTTGAAATTTGCTACATAAATACAAATAAATATTTAAATAATTATTTCTGTCATTTCGATTTTTGAACTATATGTAAGCTTTCTGTTAAATAGCCATCTTAACTTCAATAACATATTTTAGAAATTCTTTAAACACAGTGGATAATAGTCTGTTAATTAAAAATAATTAAGAAATTGAGCTGTTTCAAATTTGCTAACCACATTTTCATAGCCAGGTCCTTCTTATATGTTTGTAGGTTAACTTTGGCGCCTCAGTTAGTGTGGGATAATTATGATTTACTACTTAAAATAAGTTGTAGATATGTCAAGATTTACTTAACACTTTGACTTAACACTTGAAAAAGCATGTGATTCTTTGTGAAAAATCAAATATGCTATGAACTGTGGCAGTCTTGCTATATTACAGTAGTGTGAGACATCCGTTGCTAAGCCCCAGCAATGCACAGGGTGTATGTGTGTTAGTAAGGGAATTGGGCCCTTCACTTATACATTTTATGAGAACATGCCATGTTTGTAAATTTTTGTTACAAAATTTCTGATAAGGGAACCAGGATCCATAGTAGCTAAAATCAGTAAAGTTCAGATACAAAGTTAACACAAGAATTAAAAAAAAAAAAAAATCACATATTGGCTCAGAAGTGGCTAATCAAGTATTTCTTGACATAAATTCAGTCTTAGTTGATTGCATCACTGCAGCTGCTAAAGCTATCTTCTTCACAAATCCTACTTTTCACCAGCCAAAGTAGTCACAGCATTGTTGATTTTCCAGTAGATGTTCCAAAAGAGCTTCTAAGAATCAACAGGAGATGCTAAATATAGCATTATACTTTACCTGGAAAACAGCAGATATTTAGTTTGTAACTTATAGTATGATTCCAAGTTGCTATTGTCGCATTATATTTTTTAAAATCTTTGTTTTAACATAGTAAATGTTGGCCTTTCTTCATCATCTTCTTGAGGAAAAGTCATTGTCATATCCATCATTTGATCTACCCCCCACCCCAAGTAGGGCTCAGGATGTACAAAAGTGAATAAATTGTAGCTCCCACAGTAAAGCCATAAGGTTTAAAGTGTCAGTACACTCCCCTTAGAGGAAGCAAACGATGTTGAAGTGAGTGAGTCCATAGATTGCACTTTATAAGGAAGAAGTGATATAGGCTATTGTACAACACCTGGGGGGAAAAGCCATCCCCAAAAGACAGAACAGAGGAAGCAAGCACACACATGTATGGTAGTTAGAAGATCCACCTATCTGGAATTAAGAGCGTTTTACCTATAATCACTTTGCCAAGGCCTTCACACCTTAGTGATTCTTCTCATCCTGCTCTAGATGGCACAATATAGAGTTGGCAGCATTTAAAAAACACGTCTTACATCATAGAGAAGTGAACTGGGCTCCAGATGGCTTAACTGGTGCCCAGTGACCTAAAGGGCCTCAGGGGACCAAGTCTAAATCTGGTGAAGCTCAGTCCGTGCTCAGCAATACATTGTGCTTCTTCATTTCCTCTCACTGGGCTTAGGCCACTCTACAGAAATTACTTCACTTATCAAAAGAGTGGTAGAGAGAGTTCACCAGTAAGAAAAAGAGAACAGGAGGGAAACCAGAAATGAAAATAGAAAAAAAATAACAACAGGGAGTGGAGGTGGTGGTTTCTTTTAATCTGTAGGGATAAAAGGAACCTACTCTTGAAATAACTGTTTTGATGGGTTAATACCCTCAGAGTGAGGATTTCTTGAGAGCCATATTAGTGGGACTCAGCCTTCTGGTGTTTCTGGGAGACACTTCACATGGCAGACTTTAATTACAGAGCACTTCACTAGCTGTTTTCCTCCTCCTCCATCTCTACCTTTCACATCTACCTGACTTGAAATTTTTAAAAATGCCTTTACCGGCTTTTTTTTTTTTAATATCAAAGAATTTAAGAGAAATTATTTAAAGGAAAACTCTGAAGTTTCTCTTGTACTGTTTAACAGTTTGTGAAAAAAATAGATGAGTTGAGAATACATTTTATTAAATCATCATAGGAATAGAAGATGCATTATACACTAAACACTGGATGTACGCTAAAGGTTTTATCTAGAGTTTAACATTGTGTTTGATACTTCATGTAGTAGATATTGAATAATACATCCTGAATTAAAGGAAGAACTCTTCATCAGTATCAGGTGGACAAGTAATAGGGTCTTTGGGCGACATCTACAATCCCTATTTTTAGCTTATTATTACCTTAAAAATGCAGGATATTTTAATGGTACAGCTGACAGTGGGAATATTTGAATTTGAAAATGAAACATAGCTATGAACATATGTAATACTGTGTTAGATTTGCATATGATAATAGAGGTAGTAGAACAGTGAGTTAAAGGTGTTTTACTTCAAGTCCACTAGTGCTTCTCCATTACCTACAGGTTAAAGATAAGCTCTTATGTATGACATCCAGGGTCCTTAAGATACTTTTCATTATGTAGCCAGTCTTTTAACTCTTCATTACCTGTGATGCTTCCTATGTGGCCTGTATTATATATGCCTTATGTATGTGTTTATGTATACATATGTGCTTAGACATTCACTTTGTTTTCTCATTCAGTCGGTTGCCAGTTAGTGGTAATATATTAATCAGGTGCACTAATACTTGCCACTGTAGAAAATGTTTGCTTTTTCCCATGTTTGCTCTTCTATGCATACTGTTGCATATGCTAATGTAATAACATCAGTATTCTTGTCTTCAATGAACTTTGGCCTTACGGAAAGTCAGGCACTTGTGGATTTGATCATTCTTGTAAACACATTACTTTGCCTTGCCTTCCCAGTAATACTGGTAGGTAATCCTCAGCCAAACTATTAACTCAGGCTGAAAATAATATACCTGAACCCAGCAAGTGATGAGACCAGTAATACAGTGTCTGTAGATAAAAAGATATCATCCATTGCTGGTCACTTATTTTCTAAGAGTGAATAACAATAGTTGTAATAGTAGCAGTAGCAGTAGCAGTAGCAGTAGCAGTAGTAGTAGTAGTAATAGTAGTACGTTTGTCAAGTATATAATATTTTAAAGAAGCCAGACTGGTTTCTACATGTGATTGTTTTTTTCCTCCCTTCTTCTTTGCTGTATAGATATTATTACCTTTAATTTATTGGTTGAGAACTTAAGTATTAACAAAGTTATATAACTTTTAAAACCATATAGTTAACCAGCCACTGGGCTGGTCTTTAAACTTGGGCTTATCTTGAAATGATTTCTACTGTACACCATGTTGTCCCAAATCCTCTCCCTGTCAGGTCTTTTCCTTATATATTGTGGTATCATATTTATGTGGGACTCTAGCGCAAGTGTTATCATCTTTAGGGAAATTCTGTCTTATTCATCTTTATATTTTAATGCCTGTGCTAACACACACTTGATAAATGTGTATTGAATGATGTGATAGCTCTATGGTTAACTTATGTTCCTTGGCTACTTGATACATCTAGTTTCATATCTGTCCCACATGTCTAGTTTTGCAAGAAACTGGTTGGTTGGCATGTGTGTTCTCACTTATGAGTCACACTTCTGTGAAGATGTCCTGAGTGATGGGTGGGGGAAACTTCATCTCAGGGATGTATTGTATTTATTTGCCTTGCTGAACTATCATAGTGAAAACAACTTTAGGATTACAGAAAGCAGATAAACTCCCTTGTATGATTGCTGAAGTTGTAGATTTTTAGGACTTTTAAAATCTTTCTTCTGTCTCCCCATCCTCTTCAGCATTTGCTGCTTTGTAGAATACTCATTAGAGAAGCCAACAGCCCAGTGGATAATTTAAATCAGGCAGCTTGTTTTGATTTAATTTTGTGAATTAGCTGGTAGGGAAGATACTAAAGCTATTGAGCAGTACGAAAACCTAGAAGTATCTACAGATTTTATTTACCTAAGCAGTTCTGGCCCTCCTTGTATTATAAATAATTTAGGGTAACCATTGTGTCCTTTTAAGAGACCTGTACCTCCCAAACATGACATGTACCAGCATGTCATCAGTTGCAGTTTGCCCAGAGAGCACAGGTTGCTTACTTCAGGGTACAAGTGGTTCTTATTAAGGACTGCTCCTGTATTCAGGTTATGAATAAAGC